TATATATATATATATATACTGTATATATATATTATATGTTAATCATCACGATATGGCATTTATAATTTTTATATATGTTAATCACCGTAGGTAAGTATTTTTTAGTGAACAGGAAAAGTTGAGACTGAGTCGGATTCGAACCGGCGACCCCTGGGCGGTTTGCGCAGAGCGTAATGGGGCCAGAGTGCTCAAACGACCACAAGGGAAGTGAGCATTGCATTATCGCTAATAGACACCCATTAACAACTCCGCAGAGTGCTCAACAACACCATATATATATATATATATATATATATATATATATATATATATATATATATATATATATATATATATATATATATATACAGTATATATATATATATATATATATATATATATATATATATATATATATATATATATATATATATATATATATATATATATATATATATATATATATATATATATATATATATATATATATATATATATATATATATATATATATTTCGATATTATCGCGATATTTTTACTCATGATTTGAGAGTTTGGCAAATACAACGGCAGCGGCAACATGGTCATCAACAATAGCATTAATCCTCAACTGAAGACAAAGGCGAATGTAAATTAGGCCTACATGATCTTAACTTAGCGTTGTGCAATGCCGTAGTTGTTGAAACTAGTACGTGATTTGCATCATTTTCACGGTGGATCGGACTACAGCAACAGTTAATTCGTTCGATGTTATTTGAGGTGTTTTATTTGAATTCGCGGACTATTTTTACTTAAGGGCTGTTTGAGAGAAACAGGAATACTTAAAGAGGCAAATTAAGTGTAGTAACGTATACTTTGGCTCAAATACAACAATATAAGCAATTATTTTTCTCGTTGCCGTTCTAGGTTGCCAAACTCTCTATTATCGTAACGAGGGCAGAAACGTGCGCGAGGACATGATATACTGTAATTATCGTTATGGTCAATGATTAGCGTGATATTGTTTCGTATGTGTACATAGCTTTTTCAAGTTCTAGACGATAATTACGATATGATTTTTAAGTATAGCCCAGCTTAGCAACGTCATCAGTTAGAGCTAATATATACTCTGAAATTATTCTAGTCATAGAAAAGGTAAAATCAAACCATTTTTGCGACACAAACTGTAACACATATATTTTTGTTCTTTTAGGGTAAGATAAAGATAAAAGAACACATCACGAATGGCTTTGAAATTCTCCCAAAGGCATTGATTGAATTGTTTACCGGAAGCAACTTTGGAAAAGCCGTTGTAATAGTTTGAAGTTCATAGATCTCGTTACCTTGCATGATATGCATTGTTATACTGATAATTTTTGATAATCCAATGATAATCTAAAAGTGATCCCGACCGATAATGTTGATGATACTGATAAATGATTTATAGTTTTTTACAATGTGTGATTTAACAGACAAACAATGAGCAGATACAATAATAGATCATAATTATCAAAATAATTAAAATTTTTTTTATTAAAATAACGTTTAATTCGCATTTTCTTTGCATTTTCCCAATATCATTAGCTAATTAGCGTAAATCTGAAATGGCCCATAAATGTGAAATGGCCGGTATAAAGCACGAAAACGACTCTTATTAGTCGCTGCATGGGGCGTAGCAGCTACACTGTAGTTTTCGCCTAAGATTTGTCAGTGGATATCAGAGAACTGAAACAGTCATATGCGAAATTAACTGCATGCCGCCCCAAGCCCAAGGAGAGAAGGCAATTTTTCGTGAATGAGGCCAATGCCTTTTTTAAGGAATTTTCACTGGGGGGCAAAACAAGAAAAAAAGGAAGAACGAAAAGTATGAGCCGTCTATGTTTGGCGAACGCGCGAGTCTGAAGAGAGATTTTGTAAAACTTTAATTTATTAACTTCACCTATATAAACAATAACTTCGATCAACTCTTTGTAGTTATAATCGTACAGCTATAACCAGTGGCGTAGCCAGACCCTAATTTTTTTGGGGGGGAGGGCGAACCTCACGCCGAAGGTGTGAGACCGTCTAGGAGGGTCCGGGGCATGCACCCCCGGGAAAATTTTGAAATCTAGGGTCCCTGAATTGCGATTTCAAGCATTTTGGGAGTGAAATTCCAAAGAGTTCCGAATATTATAAAGTACATCGAAGACATGAATTGGGGGGCAATTGGGGGGCAATTGCCCCCCCCCCCAGATATATAGTTAAAAAAGGCACTGAACGAGGCTGAGTAATATCAATAATTATTCAGACGGACGTCAATGTAAAAAGTACAAATGAGATTTTGCATAGGTTTTTTGCGAATGTTATACGAGGCGTTTTTTTTGCAATTATATATATAATTATACATATTTTCTGAGACAATATTAATTAAAGTCTCAATCTAACGTCTATATTCGAGATGTTTAACATGTAAGGTGGAGCGCCCCCCCCCCCTCCCTCCAGCCCCCATGTTGGCCCCTAGGCCTAGTATAAAACTGGCGACTTGGCTACTAAACATCAAAGGTACTGAGCAGACTTCTTTAAACTTCTGTATGTGCAGGGGCGCACATTCCAAAAATTTTGAGGGGGGGGGGGGTGCCAAATTTTTCGGGACCGACTTTCATAGTTCAGTATAATCTTAAACCTACCTGCCTGCTATTTTACAAAAAAACTGCTAGTTTACTGTTTAAAGTGCCTATATCACTTGTGGGACCTTTATGGATTTGAAAAGAGCGTAAAAAGTTTGTTAATAAGTTCTAAAGCTTTTTTGATTTAGTGCAATAATTTCGAAGATACAGGTCTCTAAACTACCTACAGTTCCTGAGTCCCATGCTCCTATGCACAATGAACAAGTTTCGAAAAAGGCCGAATTTCATTGAAGAAACGCTTCCTATGTTAGTAATATTATCCAACACTTATCAAACGTCGTGTTTTTGCCCAACGATCCACAATTTCATGATTTTCATCCAGATTAATCGACGGCTGTAATGTCAGTTTCGCATCCAAGCATCATCAAACTTTAGTCTCTAGTTAAGGGCTTATCGTTGCGGCATAATAAAATTTTCTGCCTGATTCTGTAAACTACATTTTTGTAGATTGCACAACATCTACCATATTCTACCTATTCTATCTATCAGTAGCTAGCTACATAACACAAACCTTAATAGGTTTCACATATTTACGGCATGGTCTGCCTGCAACACCCTGCGAGCCGTACATCATCTAACTGCACCTACACTTAAATGCTAAGGAATGACCTTACAATCCACACATAGCCTCAACCACAACATGTAAATGGACAGATAAACGAAATACACAGTGAACAACATGGACCCCACCCCCCCGTCGCAAAAAAAATTTCGGTCAGTGTACCATTTTAGGCGTCAAAAAAATTTTCCGAACATACCAAAATTTTTCGGAACATCCCACAAATTTTCCAAAAAACACTACATTGGCCACAAAATTGACTGAATTTTCGACAAAATTTACAGAATTTGTCCCATTTATTTTTATAACAAACCAAAATTGCCCGACTGTTAATTGGCGGCTACCGCCCCGCCCCCCCCCCCGCCCGGTACGCCTATGGCCTTTCGTATTCGACTTTTCCGCTTTGCTCGGGGGACAAGCTTAATTGAATAGCTGTATAACACAAGTTTTAATTTTGCTATCAGATTCCATATCAAGTCTGTTTACTGCTAGGCGCATTTACTACATTATATAGACTATATACGCAGATTTATTACACTAAGAAACCAAAACTTTAAAAATATATAGAACTGTCAGTGGCCAAAGTCCATTGAGTGAACAATGCACGAATCAATGCAAAAAGAACGAAACAGTTAGAACACCGAATCGTTTTGAAAACTTGTGCTAAGCTGGACTGTCGAAGCGAAGGCCTTTCAATGCTTCCACGTATACATGAAACATCACTTGATGAAAAATATGTGCACCTTTGAAGACCCGCTAGAAATATTGGTGGCTACGTAGTGAGTTTTAATTGCGCATGTGTAGTGAGGTGAGACTGATTTATGAAAACTGCGCATACAAATGCGCACGACCACAATTCCATGCAACGCTAAAAATCTGCTTTTTACTGCCTACTAATGCCTACTGCACAAAGGGCTATTCCATTTAATATCCGTACCCCACCTGTCGAGGATACATGTTTTTCATTGTCATACCCCTGAAGAATTCCAAGCTCAAAACCTTTTACCCCTGAAGAATTTCAAGCTCAAAACCCTTCACCCCTAAATAATTCCAAGCTCTGAAAAATTTCAATCTCAAACCTCGTTACCCCTGAAGAATTCCAAGCTCAAAACCCTTTACCCCTGAAGAATTCCAAGCTCAAAACCATTTACCCCTGAAGAATTCCAAACTAAAAAACACTTTACCCCTGAATTAGAAATCCAAGCTCAAAACAGTTTACCCCTGAAGAATTCCAAGCTCAAAACCCTTTACCCCTGAAGAATTCCAGGAATCCTCGACAGGGGGCTGGGGGTACGGATATTAAAAGTGGAATAGCCCAAATTAGGTTGCTGCTTCGCTCGTTCGCTTCTAGCCTGCATGGCAGGCGGTCTAAAGCTCGCTCTTGTTAGTCTATGCTCTTGTGAGAAGCGTGCTTCCCGGCTGCCTTTACATCAAAGCTTTCCATCGTATTTTGTGATCAGTCGGAGGGTGATCAGTTATAATTATCCATAATTCATTTATACTCAGACGATATCTCGTATCTGAATCACAATATGAAAGGCAAGAAATATATTTACGCTCACAAATTTGAAGGGATGCCGAAACTCACAGACTTACAACTTGTGGAAGTAGAACTTCCCCCAGTCAACGATGGAGGTAGGCTCTTAATTAATACGACTTTTGAACATTAAATTCTGATATTGGAACTATTTATTGCGTAACGATTGTCAATTGTCATTTATATATCAATTAATGAAGGAAATTAATTAAACTTATGATTAATTTAAATTATGACAAATTAATTATGATTCATTGGATCCCCATACAGTGGGGGTCATGTACGTGGGGGTCTGGAGGCAGCCCCACTTGACAGCTCTGGATAGGGTGGTGTGACACCTCCCAACATTTAGAGATAAAGAATGAAGTTTATAATAGAGAGGTTCAGATTTGACTATAGTAAACATGTGATTGGTTAATTGGATATATCAAATGCATCTGATTGGCTAATGGTCCCTTATGGTAGCCTTAGGTGAAGTTTTTTCTTTTCAATGTATAGTTCCAGTCCTTATATACCTGCATATAGTTATGAAAAATCATATGTTTCATGTACTTTACAATCTCCAGAATACTATATAATCGTATCCCAAATTGCTGGATATCGCATTTCAGAGACTCTAGAGTCATGCAGCCTGTAAACTGGTGACCCCGGAGCTCTCTTCTGTTTTTGGTGTTCCATAATACCCACCATTGATTGAACGAATCTAAACTCTGAAAAACATAGGGGGCAGCTGCCCCACCAAATGCCTTGTTGTTTATTAAGAAGTCGATTATATTTTTAAGCAGCAGTCAGGGACCGGTCATAAAGTAAAAGGGGGGGGGGGGGGGGCTGGGAAAATCAGATATTTGGTGTCTGCATTTTTGGTAGCCCACCCCTTAATAGCTGCACGAAAATTTGCAGCCCACCCCTAAATTGGTGCTGAAAAATTTATGACCCACCCCTTTCTGATTTTTTCCGGAAAATTTTTTTTTCGGACAAGAACCCCACCCCCACCCCCTCGACAACTTTTTTTAGGTAAAAAAAATTTTCCGGACGAGTACATTGCAAATGCTTTCTAAGCACTCTATCTTAAATTTTCATACCAAATTTGGGTACTTAGCCTAAAAAACAGATATTGTGTTCTTTGCACGGAAATTTTTAACACAAAAAAATGACTGGGCCCAATCTTGTGCATATTTTTACATGGCCCACCCCTATGATTGCGCATAACTTTCAATGACCCACCCCTTCAATCGTGCTCAAAAATTTTTCCAGCCCACCCCCCCC